ATGTAAATACAATAAAAAATTAAACCAAGATTTAGAATAATTATCATTTTGATCTGTACATTGGTAATGTCTGACTGGGCCTCCTGTCACTTTATGTTGAACAAATTGGGCCCCGAGGTCAAAAAGGTTAAGAACCCCTGAGTTAGAGTGTTCTTGATGTTCAGTAAGTTCAGTTTTAGTCTCATTTGAGCACCTCTGACACAGGCTCAGAGTGTTCAGTGTGACTTCTGGTGAGATTCAGTGGGAACTCCTGTCTCAAGTAGATCAGTAAACTGTCTCTGTTCTTTGGTAGGACCTGGTGCCAGCAGCAGCCCCTGCTCAGAGACCTACCGTGGACCCAGAGCTCACTCCGAGCCCGAGGTCAAAGCCATTGTGGACTTTGTGAAGTCCCACGGCAACATCAAGGCCTTCATCTCCATCCACTCCTACTCTCAGATGCTCCTGTACCCCTATGGATACACCACGACCCCCGTTAAGGACCAGGCTGAGCTGGTACAAACCGTCCTCTGTGACAGATTTTATTTTTGTTTTTAACTGTCACTGGAGATCTGCTGGCTCTAAAACACGATGGACCTGAAAGTCTTTTTCTTTACTGCTAAAAGTGCACTAATATAACAGCTATAGAAGTTTCAGGACATCTCTTAGCTCCAGTAAAAGTTAAACAGAAAGCTGAGTAGTATCGTGTTTTTGCAGCACCAACTGGCCCAGAAGGCCATCAGCGACCTGACCTCCCTGTATGGAACTCGCTACAAATACGGCAGCATCATCAACACCATCTGTAAGTTTCAGCATCACTACCACAACTATAGACCTGATTCAGTTCTATCTTTGACATAAGGACAAAGATTATAGGTCAAATGTCTCAGGAATCATTAAAATCCTTTGGAGCTTAGCTTGTCAGTATTAAGACCCACCATGTTCACGTTTACAATGTTGGCTGAATTTACTCTAAAGTTAGTTTGTAAAACTTTAAAATCATCCGACACATGCTAAGTCAAACTGCATGGAAGCTAAATCAAACATTTGATGTGCTATCTGACAAACTGTTTTGACTGCAGACCAAGCCAGTGGTGGCACCATTGACTGGACCTACAACCAGGGAGTGAAGTACTCCTACACCTTTGAGCTGAGGGACACCGGCCTCTACGGCTTCCTGCTGCCCGCCAATCAGATCATTCCCACGGCCCAGGAGACTTGGCTGGCTCTGATGGCCATCATGGACCACACTCACAAGAATCCATATTAATGTGTTTGTGTGTGGACACGTGGAAGTCTGAGGGGCCCACTTCGGCTCCACTGAGGTGTCATCAGTAAAAACACCAAAGGAAATAAAAGTCCCACTGACAAAATGTCCTCTTAATTCTGGTGGTCCTATTTATTGGTTGTTGCACAAGTTTCATAAATAAATGTTTGTTTACGACCTCTGACATCAGAGGGGACTCTGAGCTGACATTTAGAGGCTTTCAGCCACAACATGGCCGAAACTCTGTGTTGTATAATTTATATACAGTGTAT